GTAGGCAGTTCTGGAATAAACTGCTATTTGTATAAAAAAAAACATAAAAAAAAAACAGCCCAACGCACCAGAAACAACTTAGTCAGTAGAGCTAAATGCGAGATGTAAGTAACAGGTCACTTGACTTCCCCTCGTCCCGCGCCGGGCAGCGCCGCCCGCGCCCACCTTCCTCCTCCTCTCTCCTCCACGCGCATCTCGTCCCTCCTCCCCGGCCCCGGCGCCAACCTCCCCTCGCCAGCGCACTCGCTCTCGCGCGCGTTCGCCCACCCCGCCGCGCCGTACTCGCCGTCCGTCATCGCCGGTCGGGCCGCCCAGCCGCAGCACGCTCTTCCGCAGCAGCAGTACCACAAGGCGAGCTCGGTCACGAGCGGCACCGACAGCCAGCACAGCGCGACCCTCGCCACCCTCGCCGCCGCCCGCAAGCCGCAGCCGCACCCGCAGCCACCCGCACCGGCGCCCGCACCGCTCGTCGCGCCCAGGCCGGCGCTCGTCACGCCCGCGCCCGCATGGCGCTTCCGAGCCGCAGGCGCAGGCGCCGCCGCCGCTAGCACGCCGTCGCTCGCCTCGGCGCGCGCGCCTGCGCCCGTGTCGCACCGCGCGCAGCCGCACGCGCCGCAGCCCTCGGCCGAGGACGTCGACGCGCTGCTCGACGGCGTCGACTTTGACGAGGACGAGGACAGCCTCGAGATTGTCGAGCCGGCGCCGCCGCCCCCGCAGCAGGGGCAGCGGCATGCTGCGGCGGGACGAGGGCTCGGGATCGGGCCGGCGCCAGGGACGGCGACGGGGAGCGAGCGGCAGGGGCGCGGCGGCGCGAGGGGAGCGGCGACAGGCGCCGAGGTCGAGAGGATGGTGCTCGACGAGCCGCCGCAGGCGCAGGTCGCGCAGGGCCAGGGCAGGGCCAAGGAGCAGCGCACGGTGTCGACGGCGAGCGACGTCGTCATCCAGGAGGCGCCGCGCCGGCAGCAGCAGCAGCCGCCGCCTGTCGCGTCGACGTCCAAGGCCGTCGTGCCAGTCGGCGCCGGCGCCGCCGCCGCCGCTCTCGTCGCGCAGCCGCAGCCGACGTACCCGTGGACCAAGGACGTGTACAAGGCGCTGCGGCAGCGCTTTGGCCTGCGCTCGTTCCGCGCCAACCAGGAGGAGGCCATCAACGCGACCCTGTCCGGGCGCGACGTGTTCGTCCTCCTCCCGACCGGCGGCGGCAAGTCGCTGTGCTTCCAGCTGCCGGCCGTCGTCTCGAGCGGCAAGACGCGCGGCGTCTCGATCGTCGTCAGCCCGCTCCTGTCGCTCATCTCGGACCAGACGCGCGCCCTCACCGACAAGGACATCCCCGTCGTCTTTCTCAACTCGACCATGCCCGCCGCCGACAAGAAGTTTGCCCTGTCGTGCCTGAGGAGCGACCCGCCGATGGCCTGCCTCGCCTACGTCACGCCCGAGCAGGTGCGTCCCCCTCGTCTCGCTCCTCCTTTCCTTCCCTTCCCCCTCGCAACCGACCGCGCACGAGCTCACGCCCGTCGTCGTCGGCACCTCTACCTCCATCTCCTCGCCTGCAGATCGTCAAGAGTGCGGCGTTCCGCGACCTCCTGAGCGACCTGCACCGCCGCCGTCAGCTCGCGCGCTTCGTCATTGACGAGGCGCACTGTGTCAGCTCGTGGGGCCACGACTTTCGTGCGTCCTCGTCTCGCTCTCTCTCTCTCTTTCGCTCTCCCCTCTTTGCCGCACGTCCTGACGAGGTCGACACGTCCCTGCAGGCCCCGACTACAAGGAGATGGGCTCGCTCAAGCGCGATTACCCGGGCGTGCCCCTGATCGCGCTCACGGCGACCGCCAACGACCGCGTCAAGCAGGACGTGACGACCAACCTCGCCATGGACCGGCCCCTCATGCTCCAGCAGTCGTTCAACCGCGCCAACCTGCGGTACCACGTGCGCAAGAAGACCAAGCACATCCTGAGCGACATTGCCGACTTTGTGCGCACGAGCCATGCCGGCGAGTGCGGCATCATCTACTGCTCGAGCAAGAAGCAGTGCGAGGACACGGCCGAGCGCCTGCGTCGCGAGCACAAGGTCCGCGCCGCCCACTACCACGCCGTGCGTCCCCTCGCTCTCTCTCTCTCTCTCTTGGGGCGGCGACTGACCTCGACTCGGCGTTCATCTCGCAGGGCATGGACAAGGACGACCGCATCCGGGTGCAGCAGGAGTGGCAGAGCGGCACCACCCACCTCATCTGCGCGACGATCGCGTGCGTCCACCTCTCTCTCCCGTCGACCGAGGCGAGCGTACTGACTCGGGCCCTCTCTCGACAGGTTCGGCATGGGCATCGACAAGCCTGATGTGCGCTACGTCATCCACTACTCGCTGTCGCAAAGCCTCGAGGCGTACTACCAGGTGCGCCCACGCTCGGACCGCCCCTTCTCGCTCCGTGCGACCCCTCACTCACTCGTCCTCGTTCGCCTCGCCTCGCAGGAGACGGGTCGCGCCGGTCGCGACGGCATGACGTCGGTGTGCGTCCTGTACTACGCCTACGGCGACACGAAGCTCCTCATGCGCCTCATCGACGAGGGCGAGGGCACGCGCGAGCAGAAGGACCACAACCGCGCCAACCTGCGCCGCGTCGTCCAGTACTGCATGAACGAGACCGACTGCCGGCGCACCCAGGTCCTGCAGTACTTTGGCGAGCAGTTCCCGCGCGACCAGTGCCACAAGACGTGCGACAACTGCATGGCGCCCAAGAACGTCGAGCTGCGCGACGTGACGGGCCTCGCCAAGGACGCCATGGGCCTCGTCAAGGCCATCCAAAAGGACAAGGGCGTCACGATGCTGTACGCCATCGACGTGTTCCGGGGCAGCAAGACGCAGAAGGTGCGCCTCCCTCTCCCTCTCTTCCGCCGGCGCCTCTCGACGCCTCACTGACTCTCGCACGCCGTCGTCCCTTGCGTTACAGATCGCTCAAGCCGGCCACGACAAGCTCGAGCACGCCGGCAAGGGCGCCAACATCGACCGCGGCGACGCCGAGCGCCTGTTCCAGCTCCTCGCGGCCGAGCAGATCCTCGGCGAGCGCTACGAGCGCAACGGCCTCGGGTTCACCAACGCCTACGTCACGCTCGGCCCGAGGGCGCACGACCTCCTCACGGGCAAGCTGCCGCTCCAGATGGGCTTCACCAAGGGGGGCAAAGGCGCAAAGGCGGCGGGCGCCGTCACGAGCAGCACGGGCAAGTCGGCGGCGGCCAAGGGCAAGGGCAAGGCGTCGACGACGTCGTCAACAGCCAAGGAGCAGCAGGCGCAGCGCACGATCAACGAGTCGTTCGACCACGAGGAGTACGGCGGCGAGTTCATGGACGAGCTCCTCGACGAGGTCGAGGGCGTGTACGACGTCAACGAGGAGGAGTGGTGCGTCTCGCTCTTTCACTCTCTCGCCGCCCCTTCCTCCTTATCCTCGCCGTTCTC